TCTGGCAACGTTTAAAGGTTCATACGGCGTTTTTCCTTAGCACGGCAGTATTCGTGAGCCACACACAGAAAAAAATTGAATGTCGATTTAGTATATTTAAACTGTTAAAAAAATGTGCGACACGTATCCAAATGCTGAATTCACAGTTGAAAAAATGCGAACTCAACATTGAATTTGTTCATTCAACTGTGGACGGGGTTAACATAGCATTTTTTTATTGTAAAATCAGCATTTATATTTGTCGCGCATTGTTTTAACATTATACATGCTAAAGCAACATTCAACTTTTCTCTGTGCGACAAAGGGCGACAACGTGTCCACCTAACACCTTTAAACGGGACTAAAAGGACCCCGCCTAACGCTGTTTTTCCGTGACAAAACCAAATTGATGCGACTCGTGGAGGCTTCCACGAGGATATTGTAATTAGTGGAGCGCGGGTGTAGGCCAGTGTAGGCTCGGCTCGGCCTCAGTTCATCCATTAATGAACTCCACGTGAATGAGTTCACATGGCCCCTGTTTAAGAGCCAGGGTCACCAGCTCTGGCAGGGAACCCTGGGATTCCGGGGCTAGCGCCCGCCAGGATCCGCCATCTTGTGGCAACGCCGTCGGGGTTGCGTGCCCCGCTGGCACCTCTGAAACTTGTTATTCTAACCTCCTTTGTTTTCCGTCCCATTCATTCTTCAGCCCCTACTCTTGCTTCGTTTTTTCCCGTATAATTTATTGTCTTCGATAACTTTGCCTTTAGTGGAATCAGGGTGTCTATAAGTCCGCAATTTCCGCAAAGTACCGCGAAAGTACTGATTTTTTAAGGGCGGTCCAGAAGTCCTGAAAAGTTCCGGAAATTCCACAAGAAGCCTCGGAATTTTTCTATTTCTTCGTCATTTTTGTCAAAATTTGAGCGAGGAATTTAAATTTTTGAAATTTTCCGAATTTTCTCGAATGGAGTTACTGAATGTTTCTGTTGAGAAAGAACTGAATTTCTTGGAATTATACTGAAATAGTACTGTAAATGTTCTGATTTCTGGACTGCCTGTTTCTGTAGACACTCTGGGAATGATGACCGGTGCAGGATACCAGAGTGTCTACAAGTCTGGAATTTCCGGAGATAGTACTGATTTTTTAAGGGTGGTCCGGAATTACTGAAAAAGTGCGGAAATTCCGCAAGAAGGTCCGAAATTTGTGTCTTTTTTGTCGCAATTTAAGCGAGAAATTCAAATTTCGTCAAGTGGAAGTACTGGAAAAGTACTGAATTTTTATGTTGAGGAGGTACTGAATGTCTTGGGAACGTACTGAAAAAGTACTTTACAAGTACTGATTTTTAGCCAGCTTGTTTTAGTAGACACGCTGGATACTGACGCAACGTACTTCATTTATTGTCCTAGGAAAAGCACCGTATGAGCCTTCAAACGTTGCAAAATCTTCCCCCGATAACCTATTCACTTCTGTGAAAAAAATGCATATTTATGCTAGAAATTTTCAGATATTTTAGATTAAATTGTGAACGAAGTCGTCTGAGAAATCTACAGAAAAATATTCACAATTTTCCCTGGAATTTTGTTTTTTTATGAAATATGGCAACGTCTGAAGGCTTTTTCTTAGCACGGCAGTCCTTTCCTCTGTCGGAACCTGTTTGTGAATTAGTGATGATGATATATCTGAAACCAAAAGGCTGCCTTCGTGGCATGTGTGACCTTTGCACTTCAATAACTCTGCACTTCTAGAAGTCATAATGTCATATTAACACAAATCCTGAGTTCATATGACATTTGTCTAATACTAACACAAACTTTTTGGCAGAAATTTTACTTTAAATTGCATTTGGGGGGGGGGGTGG